CGGCAGCGAAAATAGTCCCGGCGACCTGCGCATACAAGAACTTAACTTAGACTTCACGGAACCTCATGTTCCTACGCATTTCGATTTTTTGCAAACATCGGTATTCCCTACTCAGCAGAATGGTATGTCTGGAGACGACGAGAGCTTGGAGCAGATGCAAGAGAACGATCCGCTTGCCACCCAGATTTGGAGGTTCTTTCGCAACACCAAGCAGAACTTACCGAAACAAGAGCGCATGGAGAATTTGACGTGGCGCATGATGCACTTCCACCTCCGAAAAAGAAAGCAGGACCAAGATCCTCGGTTCGTGTTCCCTATGCTTGTGCGGAGGCGTATTGCAATTCTGACCATATCTATAGTCATGCTACTCATGAGACCGGCAACGCAACGAACGGGTTCAATGCCCCCAGCGGAATTGCGCAACTTAGGAAGACATCAGATCAGAACTTCCTGCATGCGGACCCTATGAATCTCGATGATTTCATTTTCCCCGAGAATGTTGCGACTCCGGCCGGGTTAGCAGCGACGCCGTCACCTGATGCGACCAAGCAGGAGGGGGACAAGACGGCTCACACCACGGCCGCCGCCATCCCTATCAAATCTCGCAAGGCCTCATCCCAGCATTTCGTGCCTCAATCCGTTCCCGTTCCTGCTCATCAGAGAAGTCAGGATGAGTTTGCATACGTTACTCGACATCACCGGAAAACCAGCATTGACGAGAGACGAGTGAGTAAAACTAAACCGTTATTGCTAGAGATCCAAGGCACAATAAACTCCCTTTTCATTTTTCATATGACAAAACTGACTATATTGCCTTGGTATTTGAGCTGCATATATACTCTATGAACAGAAACTAATTGTACCATTCTGTTAGACTCGGAACTTGAAGCGTCCTGCTAACTTCTCGCCACACATTTCTGCTCTTAATAACAATAACTATGTTGCGAATGAGCTGGATGCCGATTCCGACCTCCACGAATATTCTTTAGACAACTCGCATGCTAACGGCAATGCCCATGTGCCTCATCATCCCGGTGTCCCTTTCCCTCTTGACACCTTTGGCATGGAGAATGATCCTATCATCACCTCAGCCGGACCTTTCCAGCAAGGCTTTTCTTTCTCGCCATCGACGTCACCAATGGTTCCCCACGGCCCCTTCTCAAACTTCTATAACCATCCGGCCGTCAACTCAAGCTCAGTAAACGGCGCAGACTACTATTCTCCTCCTGGATCTGCTTATCAATCGGCTGTCTCCACGCCACACCCCATGGCTGAGAACGAGAACATGTTCTTCGGCTCCATGGATATGCGCCACCAACGACCCCAGAACTTCCGCCAAGGTCCGGGGTCAGTAAGAAACCAAATGGGCCAGCCTTTTATGCACCAGCCCAACGGCAACTCGATGTATCCTCCCGCCACTACTGGGGCGGATTCGAGTGCCTCCTTTACGCAAACTCTTAATTTTGGTCACGTTGATCCGAGCCAAGTTTTCCAGTCCGATCACCCGGTCCGCTCTCCTAGTGGTGGCGTGGTGCATGAGAACATGTTCAATTTTGGCGCCGATTCTGACAATGAAGATGAGGACGGTGGTGCGTTTGCTGACCGCAATCTGGGTGTCCATCAATCGTTTTCGCCCGATAATGAAGGGATGGATATGAGCAATCAGAATTCTTTGGGATGGGATGCTTCTTTACCTGGGCAATTTAGCACACAAGCCGCCCGTTATCCAGGTGGTCCTCCTCGTAAGCAAGTCACGATTGGAGGTACGACGACGGATTATTTAGAATCTAGTGATTGGGATGGCCAGGGCAATTTACCACGGTCTCAGTCGTTTCGGCAAGCTGGAGATAGGCGCCAGAAGATCCCACGTACAGCTTCTACGCCTATGGGTGGACGCGGTAACCCATTCGACAAGATGGCTCAGTCGAGTCCGAATTCTCCTCAAGCGGAAATGTCAGGAAACGTCTCGGGCTTCTCTTCCGTGGCACCCAGCCGACCTACTTCCCCGCCCGGCTCCAAACATGGGTCTGCGAGCAACCTGCAAGCTGCCGCAGGGGGCCAAGGGGACGGTAATGCACCCACCACCTGTACTAATTGTTTTACACAAACGACACCGCTATGGCGTCGCAACCCGGAAGGTCAGCCTCTGTGTAACGCTTGTGGGCTGTTCTTGAAGCTCCACGGCGTCGTGCGGCCGCTCAGTTTAAAGACGGATGTTATCAAGAAGCGTAATCGTGGATCTGGTGCAAGTCTCCCAGTTGGTGGGACAAGCACGAGATCTAAGAAAAATACCAACAACGCATCGGGTACGGCCTCTGGGCCAGCGTCACGCAAGAATTCGACGCTGAGTATGCCTGCAGCGAGCAGCATAACGCAGGTAACTACACCGCCATCGGCGTCGAACAGAGCCGGCAGTGTCAACGAGGGTGAAAGTCCTGCAAGTGGTGCTGGTGGTTCCGGCGGTAACACGGCAGGTAGTACCCCGACGAGTTACGCAGGTTCTGCTACGGGTGCTGTGGGCGGCAAAGGTGTGGTGCCAATCGCAGCAGCGCCGCCAAAGAATGTCCCAGGTCCAGGTGCCGCCTCGCTTCCTCGAAATATCAGCGCTAGTGGTTCATCGAAACGGCAGCGCCGTAATAGTAAGAGCGTCGGTCCGAACGAATCATCGGGCATGGACGTTGATAGCCCCGAGAATTCGACTGGTTCGAACGAAGCGGCTCGCTCCATTGGTTCGTCGAATGGATTCAACGGCATGTCGAACCCAGCAAACCTGGGTCTCGCCAACGGTTTCGGTATGACCCAAAGGCCGATGATAGGAACTGGCATGGTCGGAATGACGGGGGCTCCCAATGGCGTGGTAAATCCTGGCTCTGGGAACGGCATGCAAGAGTGGGAGTGGTTAACTATGAGTCTCTGATTGATGAGATATTGCACGTCTCTATTGGATACTCGCTCACGACATTATGTTGGATCTCGCCGGCTTACGCTTTCATCCGGACGTGTTTGTTTGAATTATGCATGGAGGTTATCTCACTTGGATCATGCGCAGTCGACTTAAAGCGGATAGCTGAACCACTCCGTTGTGGACTGTGGCTCGGCAGAATTCGTTGCAGACAACGGACAAGTAATTACAACATCATACATCGATCGGCGTTGGGTTATGTTTCATGTCTTCTATCACCCAGCGGCCATTTTTTCTCCGCCTCGTTTACCCGGTACGCCGAGAGGCTTTCCATGGCCTCTACCATGTCGGATCTCCCTCAATCGCTTACAGAATTCATACACGGGAATAACGAGTCAGTTTCTCCAGCTAGTTGCATAGGCTGGGGTTTTCATAGAATGGAACGCGCTCTGGGACGTTTATGTTTTTATGCGTCGCAAAATCGTCGAAACCAGCCCATGTCGATTGATCGTTCGTCGCTATTCACGTTCGCAGTATTGTTTTTGGGAATACCGTTTGCATTCGTCCACCGGATATAATATGCAATACAACATGTCCGCAATATCACGAGGCCGTCTTTTCGATATGGTCTTTTTGGAATGAGTGTCTTGGCAGGGACAAAGGCTCGGTTCGGGACACGTCATGAATTTCGTGCTCTATGTTTTCTTTCCCTTGGTGCTCGGAAGGCGGGGGATTTTGTAGATATGGGATTGATACCAATTGTCGTTGCTGTTTGTAGACAAGCGCGCAGGCCACCTGCGGCCCTGTGAGAGCTGGAGCAGATCATGGCTGCCAGGCCTGGCTGTATCGAGACTATGTACAGGAAGATATGCAGGCAGACAGGCGATGCAGAAGGGGGCATGCCACGGGTTTCTTGGTACTGCGAGAGTTGTAAAGGGGTTTTAAGAGGCAAGACAGACCATCCTGTACACATAACCCACATGCAATCTGCGTCTCCAAGGCAGACTCAAAGCTCCCCCGGACATCCTGCGGCTCTTGCAGATGCCTACTCACTTGGCTACGTAGGTAGACGTTTATAGCAAAGCGAAGAATAATACCATTAAAAGCCAAGTTATAATAATGTCTCTCCAAGCCTCAACTACCGAAAATTGTACCTCTGTGGTTCTACATAGTAGGAGTCTCGAGATGACGATATGATTTACGTACGGCGCTCCCTTTTATCCTTCTGTCCCGACATACGGAGGAAGCTCGCGGCAAAGCGATCGTGGCAGGCAAAGGGGAGGGCCTTGGCGTCTTTCCCCAGTAAGCAGCAGAGTCGCATTCCGCAACTTGGCCTACATCTACATGGCCGTTCACGCTGGTGTATGGTGGAAGAGGCAGAGTGAGTAGGTTGGATCGGAGTATACGGGTGACGGGGTGGTCTGTCGCTTCGCTTCCCTCCTGTAGCCGGGGGAGGACGTGATATCTGAAGTGGGTCCAGGCTTTGAGCAGCGACGAGTCTTGGGGGGTTTAGTGATAAGGTGTCTTAAAACGTTTCGGTATCACACAACAGGGCCCGCTTGGCACAGCGGTAATGCGCCTCACTAGTATCTTCAGATTCTACTGAGTATTTCGCAATGAGGAGATGACTGGTTCGACTCCAGTAGTGGGCATTCTTTTTTTCCCTTTTTGTTGATTTCGATATGTGTGTATCATTCGTCTTGTTAGAATAATAATTATTTTTCTAATTAAACATATTCTTGCTGTACATTTTACTTGTAGATATGAAGTGTCGACTAGCAAATGGTTCAACACGCCCAGATACGCAGCCATCTCCGAGATGTATTTTATGCATAACGCTCTCACGAATAGAGTCAAGTGTTGGCATATCACCGTTAATAGCTAGGAGGTAGGTAGCTACAGTTCCTTTTCGTATCATCATCTTCCAGTGTTGACTCCTTCTCGCTTAGATCCAATCCTAAATCGACACTCAGCTTCATCCTTGCGTTGGGGGGTAGTGACAGACTGTAGTAATGAGAAATATTCAAAATGCTAGTTATTATGGTTGTTACCAAGAAGGAATACATCAAGATGGCCGGACGAAGAAGAAACACCCGACGGGGTTGTGGTTCAATGGTAGAACGCTCGCTTGCTTGCGAGAGGTCAGGGTTCGATTCCCTGCATACCCAAATGATTTCTTTTGTATTCTCATCTCATCATCTTTTTTAGCATGATATATCGTTTAGGACCGTAACCACAAGAGATATAACAGCCAACAGTCAATACAAATGGCTTACTTCCATATAGGATCCCCATCATCAGGCAGCTGGTCGACCATCTCATGGAACGGCTCTGCAGTGACTAGGCGCCTCAAGTTCTCCCGCACACTCAGTCTGATATACGGCGACCCTGACCCCTTTGCATACCCGCCACCTTGGCCTTGGATATCCGAAACCCCATCTATGGGATAATAATGACTGAATAGGGGTGGTTGTACAGTGAGACAGATAGGTGGTACTTCTCGGTGCTTTTGAGACGTCTTCTTATTGTCTCCTAAGGCTGAATCGGCCTGGGGTCCGCTTTCCCTCGTCATATAACCCCCCTCGCACCACTTCTGCAGCATCAGGTCCCACTGGGTATCATAATGGCTGTTAAATTCCAAAAGCAGTTTGCGGGCTCCTTCCCGACTGACAGCGTAGGCTAGTGTGCAGACGTTTCCACTAGATTCATGCACAACGCGCGTATGCGGGGGATACACGTCGCCCAGCTTATCCTGCAGGGCGAAGGGGTGCGGTTTGAGGTGTTTCGGAGCCGGCACTGTCTCGTCTCCCGGAATCGTGACGATCAGGGACCTCTGAGCGCTGGGCAGATCAGCACCGCAGTGGCCGAGCCACAGGACATCCCAGCCGGTGCCGTACGCGCTCTCGACATGGCCGTCGGTGGATTTGACTGTAGATGACTGTGGTTTTCTCAGCCAGGTCCTCGAAGCCGAGGCAAAAGTCTGCAGTTGCGACTTCAGCCGTATATCCCAGTCGATATCGTCCTCTAGGATCAGCGCGCTTTCCAGGTTCCCGTCGACGACGGTTTGCAGTGCGTTCATATGGGACCTCCAAGAGCCCCGGGCTCCTGCCGAGTGTCCTCTGTCGCCTTCAGGGATGCTGTGATCCGGCACTTGGTCACCTGTCACGCCGTCGATCCAGCTGAAGCTGAGATTGCTGACGGCGCCACTCAGAACCATCGCATCGCGACGGTCTGTCCTCGGCGGTAGGTTGATAACGAATATATTGAAGAACTTTGCGCGTTGTTAGGGGATATACTCCCTATTTAGGTAAATAGGGGAAAAGGGGGTTCGTACTCCTAATGTCTTGTTGAATACATTTTCCCGGGTGGCACCGCTTAGGAGCCCGTTCACCGTATTCGGAGTCGTGAACTTCCGATAGTAGATGTAAAAGAGAGGAGCGAGGATGCAAAAGGTTACGAAAGCTCGGCGGTAGGGCGGCATCACGCGTTTATGCTTGAGAGACTGGACATCTTCCAATTCTATATAGTCGAAAGGTAGTCAGTAATCAGATGGACTAATTGATGAATTATAGATTTGAGTATCATGCAATGAGAAACGTTGGAGTGTCCACCTTGTCTTTCTTTATTCGGAGGTGGCTCGACCACGAATGTCTCATTGGCGGATAAATGAAGCGGGTGAATTCCCATGGCGATGCCAATGCTGAAAAAAAAGGTCAAGCAATATCTTATTTCGTATGTATGGTAGGTTCTACGATTGAAGTGATTTGGTCTGAGAGCCAACTACTAAAATTTGTCGGACCCCTATTTGTAGAATGGTAATTAACCTAAGACATCAGTGGCGTACATGAAGGAGGAAATATTGACGATATCATGATTCATCCTACAAGACAATTTGACCATTTACCATCACACTTCCAGCCACCCTAGATACCTACCTACATAGAACCATATATCCCTCACAGTGTCAAAATCAGCGGGGGCTAAAATTGAATCATGGAAAGGAGCAACGACGTATAACAAGGAATCGCGGAATGCCTCGAGGGGAAATGTCTCAGCCGATCCTCTCTCTAGGCACCTACCTACCCATCAAGCGCCTGCACGACCTGAGCCCAGTCCTCGGAGCCGTACGCGCCGGGCACCTGCTCGCCGTCGAACAGGCTCGCCATGACGACGCGGTCGGCCTGCTCGCCCTGCCAGGGCTGGCGCCCGTGCTGCGCGACGACGTTGTCGTAGACGAGCAGGTCGCCCCTCTGCCACCGGTGCAGCACGCGGATGTCCTCCGTGATCCGCGCCAGCCTCTCGAGGTGCTCCCGGGGGATCGGCGTGCCGTCGCCGAACAGCTGCGCGGCGTTCCGCCGCGAGCCGCCCGCGCGCTGCGCGAAGGCCGCCAGCCCCGTGAACAGCGTCGGCAGCCCCGTGCCGGGCTGCGTGCGCACCGCCGGGAGCCGGTGCGTCACGACGACGCCGTCGTCGGCCCACTCCCACGTCGTGTGCGCGCCGCGGCCGTACCGCGCGATCTGCGCCTCGACCTTGGCGCGCCGCGTCGCCTCGTCGTCGCCGTCGCGGATCTCCTTCCCGAACGCCTGCCGCAGCGTCGAGCCGCCCTCGTACTGCTTCTCGACCTTGTACGTGATGCGGCTCAGGATGCCCTTCGCGGCCAGCCGCTCGACGAACTCGGGCATCTCCTGCTGCGCGCGGTGGAACAGCTCGACCGACGACGCCATGGGCGTCTCGCCCCCGCTCTTGGCTGCGCGGTGGCCGTAGAAGAACACGTACTCCGGCGCGTGCGGCACCTCGTCCGACTCGTTGTGGTTGTAAATCGTGACCTCCTTCGGCATCTCGTTTGCCGGTGCGACGTTCGGCGCCAGCAGGGGCCTCTCGATTACGATGCCTATGATTTCGTCTGCTGCGTGTCAGTGTCTGATTCGAACTACGCTTTCCCATGGATACATACTGTAGGCGAGTTAGTGTCCCCTTGCACGAGACGTTGGCATGTTGAGGAGGTATTCAACCTACCGAGGCTTGTAGCCGAAGGCGTGGACAAATTTGCTAAAATCCTGAGCGTCATAAACTGGCAGTCCTCGAAATAAGAGTGCGCCATGCAGGGCCAACTTCTTGGTGAGAATCCCACCCTGCGCCTGTAGTGACTTGATTGTCTCGACAACGGTATCGAGGTCAAGCTTGGCGTCGTCAGGGTTAGAAGGACGTAGAGCGAGAGGCATAGTGATACCCTCGGGATGAGGTGGTCCCAATACTCGTTGATTGCTCGGTGGGAGGTCAAATTGTTCGAATGTTAGCAGCGGCGGTGTAGTCTTGTCAGGCTCAAAGGCTTGAAGGGTCGTTTGCGCTAAGGAGGTGGCCATGATGAATGCGTTCTACCTCCCTGTCTCAAGTCACGTAAAAAGGGGTAGGCGTTTAATCAATTTGGGTATTTTGAGAGTCTTTGAATTTGTTTCTTCCGGAAGTAGGACAGCACAGTCCATAATATCTATAAGGTCAGTATCGCCGTTGGTATCATCTGGCCTATCACACATGGATTCGTCGTCCCCCGATCCCGTCCTAAAATCAGGTCATCTCTTGCAAACAATGAACCAACATGCATTAAGCGTACCATGGAACCCCGCGTTTCTCCTGAATATTCTCGGGTATGGATTGGGAATAGTCATATCGTTTGAGGGTAGATGATACTGTATCTCGATGTTATCTAGGGCGTAGCACGTTAGACACCGAGAATATCACGCCAATTCTAGCTAAGTAGCAAATGCCGAAGGGGGCCTTGATATAGATATTGCCCATCAAACCTATCTTCGGTAACGTAAGTGGTTGCATCGAGCGTCACCGGTAGCTTGTAATGCCTTTGAGGAGCCTCTTCTACTTACCATAAAAAGTAGGAGAACCAAGTGCCGCAAAGATGGATTCGACATAGCCATATCAAAGTCACGGATGCAGAGAGCACACCCTCAAACACGGAACACACTCCGTCTTTCCGCGGCACGCTTTTCCAAAGCCTCGTAGTCAGTGTCTGTATTTTCGCGGCACCCCGGGATATGGAGTGGCATGAACGGTCTCGGGCCGGGGTTCGCAGAGCTCAGGTCTCATCAATGCTGGCAACTCATTGCTATACGCGTTCATGACAGTAAGTTTCTTCGCATGGCCGTGGCTGACGAACATGATTGGGTTCCGCTGGATTTTGTGCTTGGGCACGCTTGGTTACCCCCTATATGCGACAGCCTCTACGTGGACAACAGCTTCGGCAGTACGTGGTTCGTCTACGTCGGTGCCGTGGCTTACAGGATCAGCACGGGTTTCTTCGGGAGCGTCGAGGGCGTCATCGCAACTGAGTATCTGAAACAGCACAGGAGGGTGCCGTTACATCGCAGCCTAGTTTACTTTCCGCAATATCGGAAACATCATTGGAGGTGCCATCTCGCTCGGTCTTAACCATAACGTCAACCAGCGTGACCAAGTAGGATACCAGACGTACCTCAGTCTCACCCCTTCCCAATGACCTGGGTTCCTGTTCGCTCTTTTCTTCTTGAACCCGGCGATAGTCCAGCGGGATGGTGGAACTCACGCGTCGCTCTAGGATTTGGAGTCCAAGCCATTCCAACCGCTCTCATCGGCAGTGCGAGAAGCAATCATGGCCTGTGGTTCTTTGTGTTGCCATATAGCTACTATGCTACTTTAATGGTGGTCCGGATGCTCAACGAGCTTGATAAGAGCAGTCAAAACAGCGAGTCCGGGCCATATATCGATAATCCCGCATAGACGTGGCTTCTATTCATATATTAACTATCATTCAAATTCACTACTCGGGGATTCGAATAGTGGCTTATTGAAGCGATTCATAGTACCATTGAAATCTTTCCCATACCGCTTTTCAGATGAGACAGTTTCTCCTTTTTCTTCTTTTTTTCTTCTTTTTTGTAACAAGAACCACACCTTGCCGCCCAAGTCTAGCTTGCCGTGCACAACTGTCATATGTTGGACGAATAATATTTGAAATATCAAGACGATCGTAAACGTATTAAATGCCCACTAGGTTCGGTCAAATCAAAGGTGTTAATTCCAATAACACCCCCTTTTCCTACTCTGCCACGTGAGCCACGGAACGTTGGAAATTAAGAGAAATTTCACTGAGGTTCGCAACCAATTCCCACATATCTCC